ACAAAAACACCATCCCTCTCAAAAGTCCTCACGTAGCACAGCTGTGGCTTACTGACTTGGAACAAAGCTGATTTCGTAGCTGATACTGTGTCTTTGGGGGAAACTCTAAGCCTTTGGAGGGGAATAAAAGAGTTTGTACTTGTAATTAACAGAGCAAACCATCCCTTCTCACACGGAATTCCTCAAGGAAAAAAGACCAGCCATATAAATGTGTTTGTGTGTGGTGCCAGGAACTCTCACCTAAGTAAGGTGATGGAAGTAATTTGGGGGAAAAATAATGCGTGTTTTTTTTTTCTCTTTAAACTGTGAAGGTTAAAACTAAAGGGTGCCTTCCTGCAAAGTAAAACACTTCTGAGATTTTCTTCTCCCCAGTCCGTTAGTGATAAATGGATTCTTTGTGCTTCATATTAACAATAGTGCCAATTAAACTCATAGGAATAAAATAATTTAGCAAAGTTTTAGGCAGCTTGGTAAGTGCTACAGTAGTTTCCAATCAACAAGACATTTATTAAAATGATGGTTAATGATTCCCTCCAAAAAGGAGATGAAGACTGCCCGTATTCAGAAGTCTCATGTTTTTTCTCCATGTTTTCTTTATTTCTCCTTTTTTGGCTCTATATACTCAATGGTTTATCTCTTATTATATCTCATCACTAAATATATTTTCTTGTAAAATAAATAAGTTTATATTGTATAGCACAGGCAAGTATATTCAATACCCATAATGAAAAAGAATCTGAAAAGGAATATATACATGTGTATGTATGACTGAAACATTATGCTGTACATTAGAAATTGACATGTTATTAACTATACTTCAAAAAAATCTTACCGCTCAACCAAAACATGAATTTGTAAAAAAAATACATATATATTTTCTAATGCATAATATGTATGGAGTTTTTTTTAATGAATGCTGTCATAGGACTCTTAGTTATATCTGAGGCCCAGCCCCCCCCCCAACTTTGGAGCCCAGTTTATGAACAATGTCAATGAGCGATGTTTTCATAAGTTCCATGCGTTTCAGTTGGTTCTGCCAACTCTCGGGACATCAGCAGGTAACACCAGCCCACCTTCCAAGTGTGTTGATATTCATGACATTAGTCTAAGCTAAACTCCTAGTAGTGTATGATCTCACTGCTTTAGCAGATTAAACTCATTGAAACTGGTGTGCTATGAACTACTCGGGGAAAATAATATTGGGGAAAGGATGGGCATGAGTAGGCTCTACGTGGTTCAAGTCTCCTGACCTAGACTCAAAACACGTGTCATCAGTGAGCTCATGCTTAGGTTAATTTGGTAATAAACAACCTTGGTGCACATGCTTGAGCAGAAAGCAGGCGCAAGCCTTTGAAAGCATGGCAGCCTTTAACCCAAGCGTGATCTTCCTCAAGCAAGCTTATTTCACACCCTGGAATCCAACAGCCACTTTAAATAAAATGTGTTAATATATGGAACCCCCCAAACAAAATATTTATTTGTAGGTTGTTTAAAAAAAAACATCAAAGTCATTTAAATTTTATAGTTTGTCCAGAAAATCCAATGACCAGATCGCAAGGAGAATCTGAGTTTGCATGTCAATGATCGGGTGGTCTACTCTTGTCAAAAGTTTTCTTTGGGTTACCTTTTTTTTTTTCTTTTTCAAATGGAGGTACTGGGAATTCAAACAAGTACCTCGTGCATGCTTAGCATGCCCTCTACCAACTGAGCCATAACCCCACTCCCCAAAGTTTTAAAATAGTTTAAGGGAGGTCTGCTTCTGGGAAGATGGAGTCGTGTGATTTTCTCTATTTCTCCAACCAAGTACAACTAAAAAGCCTTGAACATTATATATAAAGGAAACTCAGCGGAAAGAAGAAAGCAAGCAGGTATTAGGATCTTGAGACCCATGGAGCAACACTGAAGAGTTCCCTAGATCTTCTTTTGCTTTACAGATCCTAGACATGTTGCTGAAGAAGCCAGCAACTCAGAGAGACCAACTGGTGAAGACAAAAAATAGTTCCCTATGGAAGCTTCCTCCTTCTATTTAAAGGACCAGGAAAGGAGCAGCACAGGGAGGCAGAATGCCTTTAGACAATACCCACTCTGAACCTGCCAACAACCTTGAAAAAACTATGGCCACAGTCTCATCCAGCCACCCTCTACCAGGGTGCCCCAAACCTTCGGCCAAGCGTGGTGTCAGAGAAGACCACATAGGGAGCCTGGACTTTAATCCTTGTCACATAGTAGCAAGTCTCTTCCCGTCCTATCAATGGAGGCCACGTGCCTAGCAGAGTCTGGACCTTCATCGCTTCCTAAACAGTAATGAGGAAACCCACCCACTCCCTGCAGGCATGCTGTCAGAGATGGCTTGGTGGGAAGTCAGAATTTTTGCCAGAGTCCAGTGATAGCAAAGGCATTGCTCCCACACTCACACCCCCACACACCCACACACACACACACAGACATGCTGTGAAATCACCAGAGGTCACATGGAGAGAAGTAATGAGGTTTTCCCACCCTTCCCAGCCAGGGAGGTGTCAGTGAAGAGTTCGTAGGGAACCAGAGCTCCTACTCCTCTACACCCAGTAGTAACAGGGATCTCCCCTACATTTGAGTGTCAGTGGAGGTTGCGTAGGAAGTTTGGATTCAATCCCCCTTTCCCCTACTGGACCAAAGTCAGAGGAAGGCAGCTAAAACAGATTTAAACAAGATTCATCATAATACATAAAAAGTTCAGGTTACTATAAAAAATGTTCTCCTTATACTAAGAAACAGGAAATCTCAAATTAAATGAAACAAAGCAATTAATAGATACCCACACTGAGATGACAAAGCTGTTAGAATCCTCTGACAAATACGTTTAAGTGGTCATTGTAATAAAAGTCCTTCAGGAAACAATTACATATTGGAGACAAAGAAGGTGATACAAAGCCTTAATTAAAAATAGAAAAGTCTTAGCAAGGAAATAGAAGATGTAAAGAAGAACCAAATGAAAATTTTAGAACTGAAAAATATAATATCAGACATAAAATGAACAGAAGATTAGGGACCTGTGAGATTATAATGAAAGATCAAGCATTCATATCTCTGGAATTCAGGGAGGAAATGAGAAAGAGAAAAGGGCTGAAAAAATATTCAAATACATGACAGAATATTTCTCAAAATTGGTGAAAAACATAAGCCTACAGATTCAAGGAACTGAGTGAAACCTAAACAGGATAACCCAGTGAAATCCACACCATGCCATATCATAGTCAACCTTTTGAAAGCTAAAAACAGAGAAAATACATTGAAAGCAGTGCAACAGAAATTACATGCTATCTATAGGGGGTAAAAATCAAATGACAGTGAATTTTTTACCAGAAACCAATGAGGCTGGAAGGAAGTGGCTCAACCTTTTTCAAGTGCTGAAAGAAAACAACTATGACCCCAGAATCTTATGTCAAGAGAACATATCCTTTAAGAATGGGAGAGATATCAAGACATTATAATATGAAGGAAATGTTGGAGAATTTGTGACCAGCACACACACCTTAAAAGAGTAAATAAAGAAAAGAAATGACAAAAGAAGGAATCTAGGAAAATCAGGAAGGAAGAAGGAACAACAGTGAGCAAAAATATGAGAAAATACAATATACTTTACTTTTCCTCTTGAGCTTTTTAAAATTATGATTGAGAGGTGAAGCTGAAACATATCTGAGCCCTAACACATCAATAAAATTGAACAGTTGAAAAATAATATTGATATGATTCTAAATATATAAGGAGTAAATAAAAATTAAGACCATTATATAATAAACATAATTAAGACAATTGCATAATAAACAGGGGAAAGTAAAGAAAAGGGACACAAGTTTCTATATTTCACTAAATATGGTGCAATATCAGTAAAACTATAATAAGTTATGTGTACAGAATCTCTAAAGGAACCATTTAACAAGAGTTATACATTGAGACACATTCAAACACTAGATAAATCAAAAGAGAATTCTGAAAATCGTTCAAGAAATACACGAAGGTGGAGAAAAGAGACAAATGAAAAACAGAGGGAACAAACAGAAAACAAACAAAAGTACACATTGGAGCCCTAATACATCAATGACTCTAACATTAAATGTAAGTGGTTCAAAAACACTGATTGAGAAACAGAGAATTAAAAAACATGATTGTCCTATTTACTGTCTACAATAAACTCACTTCAAATACGATATAGGCAGGTTAAAAGTAAAAGAATGGGGAAAAAATATATACATATATAAGAAGAAAACAAGAGAGGCTATGTTAATATCAGATTTAGTAGACTTGAGAGCAAAGAAAGTTATCATAGTCAGAGAAGAGCATGCTGCAGTGGTTAAAAGGGAGTATCCACCAGAAAGCACGGCAATTTTCAGCAGTCCTAACTAAGTATGTACCAAACGACGAAGCTGTAAAATATATGAAGCAAAAACTGATAGAACTGGGAAAATAAAATGACAAATCCACAATTAGAGCTGGAAACATCCACACCGTTATCGATCATCTGCTACGTGCCAAGCATCCTACAAATAATAATTACTTATAAAAATTATTTGACTTGCTAACATGATAAATGGTATAAAGGGGAATCTCAAAGACACCAAAACTGGAACCTCTCTTCTTCAAAAATGCCCTCTTTTTTAACAGCATTAAGTAGACAAATATAAGATTTCCAAGCAGTAGAATTTAATAGAATCTGTGGCTCTATTGTCGCATCTCTCAAGGATAACAAGGAGAGTCACATTAGCCCAGGGAAGACTGCCAACTCTGCCCACTGCTGGCACAAACTCACAGTCAGGAAAACAAAATTCTGTAGGTGCCTGTAACGCGTTTGTTTCTCCCATTAACACGATGCACACTGATCACTCCCTGCTTGGGCTCCACCTCTCCAGTCTCACCTGGGACTCTGAACTCTGATAGGAGGTCCCAGGGGCAGGATGGGGAAAGCCAGACTTGCCCCTAAGTGTTAGAAACTATCAGGCTGAAAAAAGATTTGGACTCACCACAGTGTAGATCTGATGCTTCCTTCTTTTAGCCAGGTCAATTATGTTTACTCCGTTGTAGTAAAGGTTCTCAATACAGCCGTGGAAGTTTTTCTTCAGAAAGGTCCCAGGTTTGCCTGGTACTGGAATTCCTCCAAAACTAAGCTTTATGAGAGGGAAAAAACAAACAAAAAGACTCCTAGTTATAAGCTCTGAAGGAACAGGAAAATGGACGTGAGCAAGTGAACTTCAGTAGATTCAATTGTATGCATGAGCCAAGTGGTTCAAATAATTATAGATCCCACTTGATTACACATTTAAAAGGATACTGATTGGCCCACATAAAAATAACTGTAATTGCTTGCTTTTTAAGAGCTTATTTTGCTAAACTATTCTACTTCCTTTCCAAACCCTTTTAATACTAAATAAAACAATAATTTACAGAAAGAGAAATAAAAAGAAAAGAAAATAACAGCTTCATGTTTACCTCTTAAGCAAACATCTCAGAGAGTATGGTCAAATGAAAGTCAAGGGATGAACAAAATATACCTCATTTAGACCTACTTTATTCTGTACTGTGCCAAAAACAAACAAACAAATTAAAAAAAAACCCTGAAGTACACAGTTTTTCCCAGATTATTTTTCATAAAGTTGAAACATAGGAAACGATTCAGATATTTATTTAAAGGAAATCACTGAGACTCAACAGAATAGTATTTTACATAGTTGTCAATAATGGTACTAAATAAACATTTGTTGTAAAATGGAAAAAGGGTAAATGCTGATTGAAAAAATGCAGTTTCATTGGGTGCAAAGTGTGATGCCAACAATAAAAAACGTGTTTACAGTTTAGACTCGAGGACGCACGCACACTGAACTGCTGGGAGGGGCAGTTGTCCCTGAGAAGGGTATGGGAAACTACTTTGCTTTACCATCTTTCTTTCCTGTAAAAATTACTACAAATTACCTTTGCCATGGAAATACTCTTTTAAAAACAAACCTAATTTGTTATGAATATGCCTTCCCTGTATATGAAAGAGAAGCAGAACCATAGCTCCTATAGTCATGTTTGTCCCAACACCTTTTAATGAGTAACCCAGTTTTTCTTTGCAGCTTTGAAATGTTACCTTCAGCTTGCACTTAAACCCTATGGAAGCTTGAGTGTGTCTCAGCGGGATTTGTTCTCCTAATCCAAGTGTCTTCTCCTATGAATAGCCACAGATATAGCAAAGGCTATTTCCAGATGTCTATCATTCCCTGTAAGTTCCAATTATTTTTAGTTTTTTTAAAAAACATATTCATTGTTCATTATTTCCGGTATATATATGGCTGAAATACTAAATTTTTGTCTCTTTCCAAGGCAAACCAGAACAGTACTTTTAAAAGTTTCTTCATTAAAATTTTTTCATTTAATTTTAAAAGTTTATTACAATTTTTCCATGTATACAAAAGTCATATACATCTGTGGGTGGGTGTGGTGTGTAAGTAAAAATAAAGGTTAATTAACAAGTATTCATCTACCACCAAGCTTCAGAAAAAAGTTAAAAAATACATAATAAATTTTGGTGAATTCCTCTAATAATTTTAAAAATACATTATTTTTATTTTCTATTTATTTTTCTATTTTTTGAAGCAGTCAGTTTACAGTGTTGTATTAATTTCTGGTGTACAGCATTGTGTTTCACTTATACATGTAAGTATATTCTTTTTCATATTCTTCTTCACTATAGGCCATTACAAGATACTGAATATAGTTCACTATGTTATACAGGACGTTGTTTATTTTATATAGTTTATTTATACATATAAACTATATATTTTTATATAGATAATAGTTAATATCTGCAAATCCTGAATTCTTAATTTATCTCTCCACTCCCCACCTTTCCCCCAGTAACTGTAAGTTCCAACTATTTTAAATATTGTTTCTTTGTACATTGTAATATATGATAAGGATTATTAATCCTGCTACCCACTTTTACTTACCATTGTTTTACTCTGTCAAGAGAATTATTTGATATTTTTTTGCCTATTTTAATTGAAAGTTTAAATTCAGAATAATTTTATTTAAAATGATCTGTTGAACTTTTGATTGAGAATTCATTATTTTCATTAACATATTTAGTTGTGAAGAATAGATATTTTTGAAATATTTCATCTTCCTGCACAAGAACCTTTTCTGCTCTTTTCTGTTCTCAAAATATTTTTGGTAAGGCCCTTCACCTAAGGTTATTATTTTATCTCCATATTTGCATATGCATCATTAATTACTATACATTTCAAGCTTTTAAAATTTTCCATCATATGGAATCTAAAAAACAAAGCAAAACAAAAAGGCGAATAACTCACAGATAAAGAGAACAGACTGGTGGTTGCCAGTGGTGGGGGCTTGGAGGGGTGCAAAATGGGTGAAGGGGGTCAAAAGAAGGTACAAATTCCCAGTTATAAAACAAATAAACCATGGGATGTAATGTACCACATTGTGACTATAGTTCAAAATATCGTATTTTATATTTGACAGTTGCTAAGAGAGTGTATCTTAAAAGTTTTCCTCACAAGGGAAAAAGAACTTGCAGCTGTGTGTGGTAATAATGGATGTTAAGTAGACTTACTGTGATGATCATTTTATAATATGTGCAAATGTCAACTCATTATGTTGTACACTTGAAACCAATATAATGTTATATGTCGTACGTCTCATTAAATTCCATTGTAAATGAGTTGCTTTCATTAATTAAATATTTTATCAAGCAAATTATATACCTATCTTATTGTTTCCTTTATCCACATACTTGTATATCAAACAATATACTTTTTAGCCAATTTCATTAAACTTTTGAAAGAAACAATCATGTGACATATTTAAAACATTTTACTCTTTTTCAAGTCAATTTTTCATACATTTTACTTGGTTTCCTTGTCCTGATCAAAACTTTCTTAAATAGAGCCAAAATTTTTTAAACATTAAATAATAATCATGGTATAAAACTTTGGGAAAAAAAACAAAACAAACAAACAAACAAAAAAGAACAGTCCTTTTGATATATTTCCCAGTACATCTAATACTGATTCTGACTTCACATCACATGAAAGAGATACCCTCTTACTCCCATTTTACACGTAAATCATTCATTTGCTTATTTTATTTATTGCTTGTTTGAAATGAGAAATGAATGCTCATTTTTATCCATTGTTTTTTTTTCCAAAATTAATGTGACAATACAGGGTATCTTACGTTTAATCTATTGATGGGTCGAACTATATTAATAGATCATAAATTAATAGATTCTCTTTGATTAAACCATACTTGTGTTCTATTTGCCTTGAAATGTATGTGTTCATATTTTAAATTGTAAATGAGTTTGAGCTCTACTTTTTTTCTTTTGCCAAGTATTTAGATCAAGTCTAAATTTGTCTCTGAGTAAAATTATGGGAGTCTTATCTCTGACTTTATTTAAGAATGATTAGAAATCTTGGGAAATATTTCAGAAAATGTTAAAAAATGAATTTTTTAATTCCACAAATATTTCTGTAAAAATATTGCTTGGATAATTGAACTTCCATGTCGATTTATAGCAGTATTCAATTTTTTCTTTAATTTGAGTCATTTGTATTTTAAAAAATCAATTTCTCTTTTATAAATTGTATAAGTCAAATTTGTAGTGTAAAGATATAGTTGAATACTTGCCACTTTTGTTGATTATTTTTTCAAAACATAATTTTTTAGAGCAGTTTTAGTTGCACAGGAAAACTGATAGGAAGGTACAGAGATTTCTCATTTACCCTCTGCCCTCGCGTAGGCACAGCTTCTCCTCCTGTTCTCAACACCCTGCACCATGCTGGCTTGTTTGTTACAACTGGTGGACCTATGATGATATGTCATAGTCTCCCAAAGCCCATCGTCTACACTACGGTGTTGTCCATTGTGTGGGTTTGCACAAACGTATAATAGCATGAATCCACCATTACTGTATCATACAGAATCGTTTCACCATCCTAAAAACCTTCTGTGCTCCACCATTTCATCACCCCCCACCCTGGCCCCTGATTCCAACTCATTGACCTTTCTACTGCTTCAATAGTTTTGCCTTTTCCAGAATGTTCACACTGTTGGAATCATACACTATGTTAACCATTTCAGACTGGCTTTTTTGTCCACTTAGTAATAAGAATTCAAGGTTTCACCCGGTCTGTTCAGGGCTCGATAGCTCATTTCTTTTCAGCACTGAGTAATATTCCATTGTTTGGACGGACCACAGCTTATTTACTCATTCACCTACTGAGGGACATCTCGGTTGCTTCCAAGTCTTGACAACTATGAATAAAGCTGCTTTAAACATCTGTGTGCAGGTTTTTGTGTGGACAAAAGTTCTTATTCTTTTCTACAATTTTCACATATACTGGCAATTTTCTTTCCATTTTTTTGGTCTTCTTCCTCAATTTGTGAAAAATAAAATAATGTTCTATTTCATTCAGCTGTGATTTCAGAAAAATATTAGTCATAGGGCATGTTTGAAAAAGAGAGAAAGGAAAAAAAATCACTGCATTTAATAGCAAAATGTAGTATTTGAATGACTTGGGGTAGAGGGTTTTTTTAAGCCAAAGACTATGGAGGACATTATATATAACAAAAATTATAATTTCCAATTACATTAAGGGGAACACAACTCTTTTCAGTCTGGGTGGAGGATATTTGGAGAAACTAGTGGAGATTAAAGAGTTACATAGTTTGGTACCTGCTCTTTGATTCTGGGAGACTGAAACCTGATGAAGTTTGGAAAGATTTTGGAAAACACAGGGAGTTATTTCTTCCCTGATTACTATAACTGTGATGGCTGTAAGCCTACTAAAGATGTCTCAAGTTCAGCATGGCCTCAGGGCAAAACTTATCTGGAACGCAGACAGGTTAGCAATGGCTGTGAAAAGGCTCTGAGGACTGCCTACCAGTGGTCTGATTCCTGGAGCATAATGTGAAGTAGTAAATATGTAAAGAGCTGGTAGCTGGACTTGGAGATCTGAGAGTGTCCAGGTGACCAGACCTCACAGACCAGGGCCATTGTGGGTACCATGGACAGCAGCTGTGGAAGCTGAAGCTTTGTTCCAATGCAGAGCTATCCACCAGCCCCCCCTCAGCCAGTGATCTACCCGGGGAAAAGGAAAGAGAA